TGGGGACCAGACCAAAACTTTGAATGTTCGCAGCAAGTATATTCCCGTCATACAAAACAAACTGACAATTCATAGAAAATTCGGCTTAAAATGAAGACTTAAATACCTAAAACCATTCTAGTACAGTTATATGACATCTGCAACAAAACGTGTGCCTATATAGCCAAATTTCATTCTACAGATCTAAAATACAACTGAGTATTATTAAATTGATTTCCAAAGACGTTGAAGATGGACATGGCTAAATCGACATAGAATTGTATGATGATTAAAAATATAAATAAAAGGGTTCTACAGGTATTAATAACGGAATGACAAGCTTTATACAGGGTGAGATGAAAAAACTGAAATCAACTTAAGACTGCTGTCATTTCTGAGCCACTTGTCATTATATTGTTTACAAGCGTACAAAAGCATTTTGGTGAGAATTTTGCAGAAAAAAATATTCGTGGTGGAATTCAAACGTGATAGCGTGATTTCTTTATATTTGCCTGGAAAACCACAAGTGGCTATCGTAAGAGCATTCCAGCATTTAAATGTGAATAAATCTTTTGTGTCTCGTATCATCGCTCGTTACCGTGATATTGGAATGGGCCAAAATACCACAGAGCAACATTCGGGCAGCGTTTGACGGTTTCGTCTGTCTGTCTGTTGTAATCACGCTATCTTTCGAATGAATTAAGATAGATGGCAACAATTTTGCACACATGTTTCTTTTTCCAGTAGGCAGGTTAAGTTCGTAAATTGTCTGTGCAGGTCCACGTCTTCGTATAGCCCCCATATAACGGTACCTCCCAATATTCGGTATTTTGATGATTTTAGGTATTTAGGTACATTTGGTATTTGAAGTTCGAAATGGATACTACACCCCAATACAGAAAATTGTCTGTGCAAGTCTATGTCTTCGTATAGCCCCCATATAACGGTACCTCGCGATATTCGGTATTTTGATGATTTTAGGTACAATACCCACAGAAATTGTTTGAGATGTGGTATTTGAAGTTCGTAATGGATGCTACAGCCTGTGACAGAAAATTTCCTATGCAGGTCCAGGTCTTCGCACGGCTCCGATATAACGGTACCTCTCTATATAGGATATTTTGATGATTTTAACAACATTTTTCACCGTTTATTTGGAGCTTCGAATTTGAATATGGTAATTGCTTATGACAAACAAAGCCTATGTAGGCCCACGTCGTATAGACCCCAATATAACGGCTATATTTGGTATTTTTAAAATTTTAGCGGAATGTTTTAAGGATTTTATTTTTGAAAATTTCCAAATTCGTTCCAAATGGTGGAGGGTATTCAAAGTTCGGCCCGGCCGAACTTACTGCTTTTTAACTTGTTTTTATCTCACCCTGTTCAGGCTTATGGTGGTGTGTATAAAAAATTATCTTTGATAGCGAAAAACATGCGAATATATTTAAATCACATTTTTAATTTGCAATCAAGTCTCAAAACGACTACCGATGGGGTTCTTTTTAAGTATTCTTTTTTTCATTTAAATTTCAATAAAACAAACACCCACCGGACCCAAAACAAACCTACACACTACACGATGTGTGTTGCCAACATTCAAATAGCATCCACAAAATCAATTTCCGTTAAAGGCACTTTGCAATTGAATACCTTTTAACCAGAGATGCTGACTTCGACACAATAACCAGAGAGTGCAATGTTAACGACAAGTCTCTAACCGAAAATGTTTAAATGAATGTTTGCTATTGCTATTGAATCGAACATGGACACACCCACACGAACACAGCCAACATTTTACATACACATTTTAGTTGAAGTTTGGTCGGTCCAACAGTCAAACCGTCCGTGTGTATGGTAAAGTGAATATATTTCTCTCAAATGTTTACTTTGGCAAAATGTGAATTGGATAAAAAAAAAGAAACGAAAAACAAAATTGGGCTAAGTTCGGCCGAAACGAACTTAATATAACCTCCTCGAGGAAAGCAGCTATCGTACATTTTTGAAAATGAGTTGGAGTCCACTGTCATTTGGTAATGTTTAACAAAATTGAAACTGAAATGGTCATTACGGAAAATAACAGGGAAACAAGCTGAATCACATGAGCAAAAAAATGTACAATTTACTGTACTGCCAATTGGAAATTTAAATATATTTTTATACACCTATAGTGGTTGTAAACTGTTTTCCAAAATAATGACTATTTCCTATAAAGCCACTTCCGAGAAGTTGTGACTACCACTTCAATTCTCTTCACAATTGACATAGCCATACCCAACATACAAAACTAGCTAGCCCGGTCCGCGTTAACAGCCCGTAGTTTTAGTCTTTAATGCATGTTTTTTTAAAGCATAATAATTCCCAGATCTAATTCATATTAGTGGACCAGGGAGGTACCGTTATATGGGGATTATACCAAAATGTATAGCGATAATGAAATTATTCTGGATGATGGTTCCCAACTTCTCAATGTAGCCTAAATACAAACACTTAGCCAAATCGAATGTAAAATGTGTTAAAGGCCCTCGAAAAAGGTAAAATCTGGAGATAGCTTGAAAAATGTATGCCCCATTTAGATGCCAAGATACCAAATAAGATCCGAATCAATTGCAAAAAATATGGCCAAGCCGGAAATAGCTTAAATAAGGAGATGTTTATTGGGCGTATATTGATAATTTTTTGCAAAGATGTTTTTATACCCTTCACCATACATAGTATGGAGGGTATATTAAGTTCATCATTCCATTTGAAGCTCATCGAAGTAATGATTTTAGACATAACAGAGTATGTATATTCTTGATCTATTCTTGATCAGCGTAAAATTCTAACACGTTTTAGCCTTGTCCGTCCGTCTGTTGTAATCACGCTAGAGTCAAAACGTATACAGCTAGAAAGCTATAATTTTGCACAGATTAATGTTTTGTTTGCAGGCAAGTCAAGTTCGTAGATGAGCTACATCGGTCCACGATATCGTATAGCCTCCATATTCGATATTTTGAATTTTAGGTACAATATTTACCGAAATTGTTGGAAATTTCGTATTTAGAGTTCGTCTGTGCCAGTAAATTGTCTATGCTGGTCCAGGTCTTCGTATAGCCCCGACGTAACGGTACCTCCCTATATTCGGTATTTTGACGACATTAGCTAAATTATTCACCGGATGTATACCCTCAGCCAATGTTCGATTATTTAAATATATTTTGACTTCTGTTATGATCGTTCAAATTGTTAAGCCTCTACAGAGTAGGTTCCGAAGGAATGGCCCAATATCGTAAATTTAATATCGGACCAAACCAAATACTATATAAAAATTGAGATATGTGTTAATTTTTAGAGTGCGAGAGGTACCAGATATAAAGGGTGAGATAAAAAAAACTGAAACAAAGCCAAACGCCATATTTTTTAATTTTTTTTTTTTTTTAATTTTATTGAATCAAACCAAAAAATATCGGAAATAGCATCACATTTTAGAATAAGTTTAGATTTGTTCGAATTGGTCACCTTTGGCACAAATTATGGCCTTCAAAAGGCCAATGAAACCGTCACACGTTGCCCGAATGTTGCTCTGCGGTATTTTGGCCCATTCCCGGTGAAGCGCTTGCTTGAGGTTATCGACTCTTTGGTATTTTTTAGTGCACACCTTGCTTTCCAAAATACTCCAGACACAATAGTCCAACGGATTGGTATCCGGAGGTCTTGGTGGTCATTGTGCGCTGAAAATGAAGGGAGGAACCTCATTTTCTAAGCATTCTTGGGTGGCGCGTGCTGAGTCTGATGATGCTGATTCCTGTTGGAATGTCCAAGATCTGCGGCCAAAATGTTTGAATGTCCAAGGCTTTAATACACCCTCCAGAATATTTTCGCGATAATATTCGTCATTTATTCGAATGCCACGGTCAACTAGTGGAGAGCGTCCATAGGCTCTTTTGGCGGCTCAAACCATCACCATGGCCGGCGCTTGAGTTCTGGTGGCCAACCGAAGGTGCACATTTTCAGCTGTCCTCTTTGGCAAGTAAACACGATTATTTTGTTTGTTTACAAACTGCAGGATAATGAACGTTTTCTCATCGGAGAAAGCCAAATTCGGCAGTTCACCACTTTCGGCCAAGCTAAGCAATACTTTAGCTCTTTTAAGTCTATTTTTTTTCTGAAGCGGTGTAAGTTCTTGCATTTTTTGGAATTTCAATGGCTTTACCCTGAGCTCATTTTTCAATATTTACCGAATGGAATATTACGAATATTGTTTAGCTCCCGAGACATTTTTCGGCCACTGCGACGCGGGGTTTGATCAAGTCGCTTCTTTACTTTTCGAACCATTTCTGCTGATGTTGCTGTTTTCTTCCGTCTACTTCCTTGACGTGGGGCTACGCTACCAGTATCACGGTAACGATAGATGGTACGAGAGACAAAAGATTTATTCACATTTAAATGCTGGAGTCCTCTAACGATAGCCACTTGTGTTTTTAAAGCCAAATATAAAGAATAACTTTTTTTCTGGACAATTCTTACCAAAATGCTTTTGTTTGCTTATAAACAATATAATGAACTGTCACAGAAATAATTTTAACAGCTGTTGGACGAGTGGCTTAGAAATGATAGCAGTCTGAAGTTGGTTTCAGTTTTTTTCATCTCATCCTGTAGAGTTTTAGGGTATAAAAACGCCAAAAATAATAATTCAAATAAAAAAATTATTTCAGCAGCTATTTCAAGAAATATTTAACTGTTCAATACAAAGAAATCCTTTAATCCTTTAAAAATCACAAACAATATAACTTTTCCGGCTGCTGAATGAAACTAAATATGCTCTCCAAATGTGAGTAGTGGGAATAAAAAACATACATGTGACAATAAAAACACGAACACCAAACATGTTCGCATACAGTCATACAGCTCTTTGGTGCACACATGTACCTTCCACATTGTCCATCGCAATGGAGCGATATGTTTGGATATGTGTATGTGTACAACTTATGGGGCTGTGTGATAGTGTGTGTGTGTAGTATGAAATGAACCAGTTTTACCTTTTTCGAATGTATGCAATGCTTCAGTTGGCAGCCAATGTCGCCACAAATCGCCCATGTGCCGGAAATTCGTTGTTGTACCGTCCTCATGCCCCAGAACCGGAAATACAAATTGCGAAGAGAATGTTCGACCAAGCAAATCGGTAATGTTGCGCAGGATTTCCAATTTTTTCATTTCGGACATTGGATGTGCTGAGTGAGATAAACCATCTCTGAAATTGAAAACAAAATAGAAAGAAGAAAAAAAAAAGAACAGAATGTGAATACATATATAACAGAAATATATAGACAATAAACTATATACATACATACATACATACAGACATATAAAATACTGATATGAGAATATGTGAAATTGAATAAAATAGTCGAAAAAAGAGGAAAGTTTTTTGATAATGATCGCTTCAAGGCAATCCTAAAGGACACTCGAAAACCCCATTTCACTTGTTAATAGCAAAAGAAAACATTGGAGGAGAACAACGAAATAATCCAGCAATGAAATAATCGAAATAAAACTTTAATTAATGGATTACGTCCACTTGCAACAATAGAGAAACTTTAAAAAATGACTTCCTCTTTATATCCAGCACAATACTGTGGTCCTGGGTATTATGTTTTTGTAAATTTGTTTGAGCCCATATAGAATGAATTTTGGGCATATACAAATGAATTCAGCTCAAAAAGTAAGTCTGCAAGATTGGTGAAAATTGGTTCAGATTGTAGCTCACATTTCTATGTTTCTTCCAATTTGGTATTTAGTTTCTCAAAACCGTATGAAGCGCTCAATAACAATGATATTTGGCACAAGATATCAGATACAATCTAGAAATACCTTTTCCATATTCGTTCAGATTTACATGAAGCTCCCTATACATTTCCTGTGATTTGATATAAATAATGCTAAATAAGGTCCAATTTGGATAATACGATCAAGTTTCGACTACACAAATTTTGGAATAAAACAGTTTTGATATAGCTATAACTCACATAGTTATGTTGCTGCCTATTTTATATTTAATCCTTCTCATAATCGTAATAAGATGCACATTATAGCAATTATATTTGTTACGAGGGGTCAAATATTGCATTAAAATACCTCTATCAAATTTAGTGCAAACCGATTCAAATTAAGATAAAGCTTTTACATATCTTGTTTTCATTCGATAACATATATAAATTAACCTTAAGTCATAATCAACATTTATGACAATAAGCCCTGAACACTTAAAGCTAATTCAAACATGTAAAAACACACATTAAGTTCGACCGGGCCGAACTTTTAAAACCCTCCACCTTAGGGTTAAAGAAACATTTTTATAAAAAAGTATCTGAATTCAAGCGTGTTTCACATTAAACTTCATATACCAGTAAGACAGTTTGGATAATGCAGTTAAAATGATCAAAAAAAAAAAACCATAAAGTGAGTGAGGCCGCTATATGGGGCTATACCAAAATGGGAAACTCTGTAGACAATTTTACACTTCAAAGGTTGCCATCTATCAAATCTTCTAAAATACCAAATTTGAACTAAAATTTAAATAAACTAAATATTCAATATTCCGCCACCGGGCTAGAACCCATTATGAACTAAATATACCAACTTTTATAAAAATATCGAATGTCGTCAGGTACCGTTATATGGGGCCATACCAAAACCTGCACCTTCTCATACAATGCTTCGCCACACTAGCCACAACCCATTACGAATTACAAAAACCAATTTCTGGACAAATCCCTTAAAAATGTGCAAAAATAATCTAAGCACCGAATATCGAGAGGTACCGTTATATGGAGCTGTACAAAAACATGGACCTACTCATACAATGCTTCGCCACACGAACTAAAACCCATTTCGAATTACAAAAAACAATTTCTGGACAAATACCTTAAAAATGTGCAAAAATCATCAAAACACCGAATATCGCGAGGTACCGTTATAAGCGGCTGTACACACGTGGACCTATATACATACAATGTTTCGCAACCGGAGCTTCACCCCATTATGACCCATAAATAATACATTTTTTGACAAATCCCTTAAAATTGTGGAAAAATCATCAAAACACCGAATATCGGGAGGTACCGTTGTATGCGGCTATACAAAAACGTGGGCCTACACATACAATGTTTCGCTACCGGGCTAGAACCCATCATGGCCAACAAATTCCAATTTTTAGACAAATCCGTGAAAAAATGTGGCAAAAATCATCAAATTACCGAGGTACCGTAATATGGGGACTATACCAAAACGTGGACCGATATATCTCATTTTCAATACCCACCATCCTAGGCACAATACAAATTGTTATGTTAAATTTTGACGCTCTACGTCAAAATTTGTGGACTGTATTGTGATTTAAACAGACAGACAGACGGACATCGTTAAATCGACTTAGAATATTATGCTTATTATTAATACATATACTTATGGGGTCTACGATGAATATTTAGGGATAATACAAACTGAATGACAAAGTTAATATACCCTCCTTTCCAAGGTGGAAGGTATAACAATATAAACAGGTTGAGATGAAAAAACTGCAACCAACTTCAGACTGCTGTCATTTCTAAGCCACTCGTCCGACAGCTGTTAAAATTATTCCACTGACAGCTCATTATATTGTTAAAAAGCGTACAAAAGCATTTTGGTGAAACTTTTTCAGAAACAAAATTATTCGCGATGGAATTCAAGCGTGAAAGAGTGATTTCTTTATATGTGGCTGGAAAACCACAAGTGAATAAATCTTTTGTGTCTCGTACTATCGCTCGTTACCGTGATACTGGTAGCGTAGCCCGACGTCAAGGAAGTGGACGGAAGAAAACAGCAACATCAGCAGAAATAGTTCGAAAAGCAAAGAAGCGACTTGATCGAATATCGCATCGCATTGGCCGAAAATGGCTCATGAGCTGAACACATCGCAACAGTCCATTCGGCAAATATTGAAAAATGAACCATTGAAATTCCAAAAAGTGCAAGAACTTGGCCGAAAGTGGTGAACTACTGAATTTGATTTCTCCGATGAGCCCAGCAGTTCGTAAACAAACAATATGATCGTGTTTACTTGCCAAAGAGGTCAGCTGAAAATGTGCACCATCGGTTGGCCACCAGAACTCAAGCACCGGCCATGGTGATGGCGTGAGTCGCCATAACAGCCGATGGTCCGCTCGTATTAATCGACCATGGCATCAGAATATTCTGGAGGGTGTAATAAAGCCTTGGGCACGCAAACATTTTGACCGCAGACCTTGGGAATTCCAACAGGACTCAGCACCATCGCACTCAGCACGCGCCACCCAAGAATGGCTACAGAATGAGGTTCCTTGCTTCATTTCCAGCGCACAATGGCCACCAAAATCTCCGGATACCAATCCGTTTAACTATTGTGTCTGGAGTATTTTGGAAAGCAAGGTTGGCACTAAAATATACCTCAAGCAAGCGCTTCGCCGGGAATGGGCCAAAATACCGCAGAACAACATTCGGGCAGCGTGTGATGGTTTCATTGACCGTTTGAAGGCCATATTTCGTGCCAAACGTTTTCAATTCGAACAAATCTAAACTTATTCTCAAATTTGATGCTATTTCCGATATATATATATATGGTAGGTATTGCTATAAACCGATTTCTATCAAATTTGGCATACTTATTTTCAGAATCCTGACCACCTGGTGGTGTAGGGTATAAAAACAAACATAAAAAGCTTTAACTATAACAAATAAAAATTAAAGACTTTGGCAAAAGTAAAATTAAAAAATTGACATAACTCAATATAAACGTTCCTTTGTTAAAGACTCAACAATATTAACAACAATAATTTATTTTACTCTCCCTGGAAATTATGTCTTGCCAAAGACACAACAACAAGATTTATGCATTTTTTTGCTGTCTAGAATATTGCAAGAAAACTAGACAGCTAGCTTTATTAAAAATAGAGCTGATATTTTCCAACATTAATGAGATTTTATATGTAGCAAATAATTAAATTTCTTTATGCTATATTTTCCAATTATAAAGAACGCCTGATTCATAAAGTGAAAAAATGCAAACAACAGCAACAACTAACTAGTACGTAAAGTTTCATGGAAACAGATGCCATTCCGCCGAGAAAAATTAAAGCAAAAAAAAAAGTTAATTTCCGTTATTTTCCCTTAGGATGTATAGGGATTATGGGTTCCTTTATTGTCAAAAGATATCCCAAGCGCACATAAAAGCCAACAGAGGGAAGGTAAGTTGCTGGACGTGTTGTTGCAGTGAAAAAGTTTCCCCCGCAAACTTAGCGAAACGTAAAGGAACTGCCTATTGTGTGGAGGAGTTCATCCTTGCCAACTGTGAAGACTACAAGATATGAAGTGACGGATGAAGCCACAAAACATTTCGTGAAAATGTAGAAAGAAAGAAAAAAATAAAAACAAGCTATGAAGAGATACAAGCTTGAAAAACGATACGAGAAAAGGAACAGATTTTCCAGAGAATACAAATGGACGATGCATATCAACGAGCTCAACACATTTGTTGCTGTTGTGCAAAGTATGAAAATTGATAAATATTACGCAGATTTTTCTCCAGCTAGTTAGTCCTCACTTGAATACAAAGAGTACAAAATAAGGAATTTTTTTAAATTAAGGAGAACTACATCTAAAATTCCTTTTCAGATGAAAGTAGAGGCACGGTAATAACAAAAAAGCATTTAAATTGAGATAAACATTTGAAAATTTATATGCGTTTTCCTCTTTTACATCTTAAGTGAATTAAAGTGTAGGAGAGACAAGGATAGGAGAGAAAGCAGTTACAAAAGGACTGTATGTCTGTCCGTCAGTGAAAATCACTCTAGCATCCGAATGAAAAAACGTCAAAACTCTAAATCTTTACCACACACTTTAGGGCTAGACCATAGTCAAAGGAAGAATTATTCGAAATCAAATATCAGTGTGAGTCTCTGAAAAATGAAATTTGTACATTTAATTCATACAGTGAAAAAATTAAATCTATTAATATAAATATTCATAATCAGCATGAAATTCTAAAATTCGATTTAACGATGTCCGCCTCTCTGTCTGTTTGCCTGTCCGTCTGTTAAAACCACGATACAGCCCACATTATTTGACGTAGAGATTCAAAATGTAGCAGAACAATTTGTATTGTGTCTAGGATGGTTGGAAATTAGATATATCGGTCCACGCTTTATAACGTTACCTCCCGATTTTTGGTATTTT